CATCTGTATATCCAGAGTGAAAATGATCTTCTTAAAAATGTAATACAAAGCTAATCTGTTATATAGATAGCGCAAAATGAAGATCTAAACTAAAAGTGATCTAAAGAGAGATAATCCAATCAAAATTGTTACAATTACTATTATTAAATAATATATAATCATTAAATTCTAGTATTATCTTTATAAGTTTACTCTTCTGAATCTTATAATTCTCAAAAATAGCCTTTTATATAGTTAAATAAGTTTTAACAAGTTACTACTGTCATATTTGATGTAAAAATATTATAAATAACTATTTTAATATTGAAAATAACTTTTTAAAGTCTTTTAGTTATTGCTTGAATAATTTTTGAAATGTTTGAAAACTTTCTGAAACAAAATATTGATGTAGATCTTTTTAAATTAATTAGTCATTTTCAGTTTGTGAACTTTAACAGGATCATTCTTAATAACTATCTTATCAATTAATCTCAAAATTTTTATCAGATAGATAAAATCTTCAAATATTAGTAATTTAATTTTGATAAAATTTGGTTATATCTAGCTTGAGATATTAGATAAATTATAAAGTTAATTTTGAAATTTTGCTAAATAATATTTTCATCTTTCTGGATGTATTTTTACTATATATATATCAGATAAATTCTGTAAATGAAGTTAGAAATAGTTTTTCTAAGTTTGAAAAAAATTTTTTAGTAGATACTGGATAGTTATTTTGTTATCTTCATTATGTTTTCTTCTTTTTTTCAATATTATATACTTTATATGAAATTGAGTTTAAGACTAATAGCTTATTATAATTATAATAATATTAGAAGTAATTGCTCTACTAATAGTTAATACTAACTAAATATTTATATATATTAAAGTATTCTATTGATACAGATAATATCATACTTGTAAATTGAAAAAGAAATATAAAAGAAAAGAAAATAATTAATTTTAATATCTAAATAAATTTTTCTTTTACAAAGAGCACATTATAAAGTTTAGCTTCACAGAAATAAATAAAGAAATAGAGAGAGTATAGATATAAAAATCTATAAAGATGATAATAAAGAGTCTTCAGGATTTTAATTCTAGAGAGATAATAAATAAAGAGTCTTTAAAGTTTTAATTTCAGAGTTTTAATTCCAAAAATAATAAATAAAGAGTCTCTAAAATTTATAATTCATAAAGATGATAAATAAAAATAAAATAAAGAGATTTCTGAAAGTTTTTCTTCACAGAGAGGATATCAAAAATATATTATAGTAAATTTAATAAGTGAATTTTCACTTGAATTTATTTTAATAATATTGAGTTGAGAGAGACTGAATTAAATAATAAATAAAAAGAGGGAAATTAGATTATAACTTTAATACTGACAAAGATTTCTAAGATCTATGTCAATATTTATGAATATTATCTTTCAAAGAGGCAAAATATAAAAGAAAAGAATAATATAAATCAAAAGAATTATAATAATTAATAAGTAAAGTTACCATTAATTAATAAAACTAAAGATTTATAATAATCAATAAGTGAAATTACTATTAATTAAAGAAAATTATAACTAAAAAATATAATAACTCATATAAATAAAAATATAAATTAAACAATTAATTAAAAAGTATAATAACTAATATATATGAAAATATAAATTAAAAGTATAGCTTATTTTAAGTAGAGATCTTTTACTAAAATATATTAATACAATTTAAAAAGAATTAAATTTATATTTTCCAAGTCTGAATTTATTTTATTTAAGAGAGCAGATTCTTTAATATATTTTTTAAATACATAAATTATTAAAGTATTACTAACTAATAAGAATATAAATATTAATATTTTGATATTTTATCAAAATGCTAATATTTTACAAATACTAGTATTTTATTATTTTACAAAGAATTTACAATCATATTAACTAATTAATTTATTATATATAAAATATTAATATCAATATGATATATTTATAATTGAAAAAGTAAATCTCAAATTTAGGATAAATATAATAAATATAATATTTAGAGAATAATTATAGATTTAGAAAATAAATATAAAAAGTAATAACAAGATAAATAATTAAATAAAAATAATTTAAATTATGTAATAGTAATATAGATTATATTCAAATTTTAATATTAAAAATATAATTAGTTTCAAACTTTAGTTAAATAAATATAAATAAAATATTAAATATAAGAAATAAATATAAAGATTTAGTTTAAAAAATATTAAAAAGATACTTTTTATATATAATAACTTAATTTTAATTTTATAATTATTTTAAATTTTAATAATAAAATTTTTTGATATGATTTTTACTATTTATATATAAATTATTTCAAAAGTTCCTGTTATAAATAAATTTAATTTATTATATAATACAATTAGGTAAAGATAATTTTAAAATATTTTTATTCAAATTAGATAGAATATATAATATTATTTTTAAAAATTTTATAATAGTATCTTACTTTTTAAATAGCAATAACTTTTTTAAATATTTTTTTAAATTCAAATCTTTATTTCTATAAGAATGTAATTGAATTAGAAAAATCTAGTTCTAATAGATTTTTCTTATAAAGAGATTACTTTTAATATATATATATATATATTGATATACAAAAAAATAATAATTAGTTTTTTAATTATAATGAATTGAATAATTATTCAAATAATATAAGTATTATATATATATTCTTTAATATCTAAAGAATAAGTTTACTTACAATCATAAAATAAAAAATCTTAATAAAATTTTTTATAAATTTGTAATTTATATTTAAAAATTCAGCTTGTAAAATTAATTACAAAAATTTATATTGTATATAATTTTTTATAATAAATATATAGCCAAAAAAATAATTTAAATTATATTTTGCTTTATTATACAATAACAAAGCATTGAATTTTTATAAAAACTTAATAATATCTTCTTTATAATATAATTAACAAATTTACTTAAAGCTTAATTATATAATAACTTATTAAAATTATTTTTAATTAATATTTTAAAAAATTTTGTTAGCAATTTTGCAAGCTGAATTTTTGAATATAAAATGTAAATTTATGAAAAATTTTACTAAGATTTTTTATTTTATGATCTTAAGTAAACTTATTCTCTAGATATTAAAGAATATATATATAAATGCTTATATTATTTGAATAATTATTATAATCAAAAAACTAATTGTCATTTTTTTTGCACACCACTGTATATATACATAGTAACTCTCTTTATAGTGTAACAAAAAAATTTAATAGTAAAAATTCACTATGTTTATTAGTAAATTTACTATATCGAATGGATTTTATTAAAGGTAGTTTTGGATATTATCCACTATATCACGAGTTTAATTAGTCTCCACTATAAAGGAGGTACACTATAAAGAGAGTCACTGTGTACTAATTCAATAAGTTTCAAAAACCAGTTCTTATAAAGAGATAGCATTATAATAATTATTACAAATCATACAGTCCGCACGGAAAATAGTGAAAATTTTTATAATATTAGCCTCCTTTTAAAAGATTGGCATGAAAAAATACGTGACATCCTATGAATCTCTATTCGAATGTATTTCCAGCCATTGAAAATCACAATCCATATCCCGGTCTGTGATATAGGAAAACATCAATTTGACTCGCGATTACGCAAAATTTACTAAATCAACGAGTCTTTACCCATTAGTAAAAAATGTTCAGCTTAAAAATTGTATTAGAATGTATTAGGAGCAATATTTACCGTATATTCTCCAAAATAAGCACTTCACGACAAATAATACTTTTATTATAAGAATGTGACAATTAATATAACAAAATATAGGTGATACAGTAAATAAGGAAAATTACTAAAAAAAGTAACATCACAGGGGTGCTTATTTTCAGGAATATACGGTATTAGTTTATAAATAAAAATTGTGAAAAGGAAATTGAAATAGCATTAGTTATAGTTCTTATGATTTTTTTGACATGCTAAATTACATTCAAACCTGCATTGGCATAGAAGGGAAACGTATCATGTGTTGAGTTTTATAAAGTATGATGCCCTATTTAGAGGCGTTCTAAAGATAAATTTTCTTAAACATAATTATTGTTCCCTTTTGATAGAATAGGTTTCTTCATGATATGCATACCCCTTTTACCTTATGCTATAAAAACAATTTTATTTATATTTTCTTCTTAGAAAGCTAATTTAGAACTATATTTATAACACACGTTATACATATATTTATTTTTTTGTCAATTTGTGTACAGAAAAGAATTAAGTTTACAAAAAATACATTTAATTTGCATGGAAATTCTTTGAGAAGTGTGCGTTATATTTTGTGCTACAATGCACATGTATTAACTTTAATGATATTAATATCATTATTGCATTTACTTTACGTTTGATTATCCGGATACTGGGAACATATATACACATGATGCACATATATATGTATGTTTTGTGAATTTACATGTACATGTATAACGATAGCGACAAAATACAGCTAAAAAATATTTATAGATTTGATGAACTCTTTGTAAAGCAACCCTCCATTTCAAAAATTTCTAGTCAAAAAATCAGAATAAGTTTCATACAATATTAATTCTTTCAAGATATCGTTATAACCAATAGATCGGCTTTTCCTAATCACTTTAGTATCTTAGCGAGTAACACATATTTGTGCCTTGTGCATTGTACCTTGTACATGTGCTATCTATTATATAAAGAGGCTCAACTTACCTTTTTAATATTATATGTTCAGGTAAAATGTGAAACAGTATTCCTACAGCTACCCATGAACAGAACAAAGTGATACAAATTCATAACTTTTTATTAATTATAGTTATTATTATTTATTTGCATTTAAACTTAATATACAAGTATCATAATATGGTTATTTAAGTTACCAACCAAAAAGTTTCTGATCGGCGGCACTTTGATTAGTAGATAAATCGTCTTTACTTTCTCAGAGTTACATGTATTAATTTTTATGTACACATTTACAAATTTATCAAATTTATCAAATATGAATTTATTTAATACATTTATCTTTTCATTAATTTTGCTGGACATTAAGTATTATGTATTTGCTAATGATTTTACTCCAGCTCCTCGTGCGGGACATATTGCAATTTTAGTAGACCAGAAAATTATATTTGTAGGTGGAAAACTCAATGATGATACAAATTCTCGTGAAATATTTTTTCTAGACCTTCAAAATGAATTAAATTTAAGTAGTAATGATAGCAATTATTTTGAATTTGGTGCATTTAATGAGACAATACCGTCAGAAATAGGAGGAATTTCACTGGCAGCTTCTGCAGTTGGAATAAAAAATAATTTATCAATGATTGAAATATTTGGAGGGGTAATTTTTCAATTTTAGTAAAAAATTGTTTTGAAAAAAGCTAATTATTTACCTGTCTATTTTCAAAGCTAACCATTGTTGATCAACGGAGCATTCAAAATGGCACAAATGGCACATATCCAAAAAGCATAAATTCATTTTTCTCGATAAATGTACAGAATGCGACAAATAATATATCAATAAACGTGTTTAATGACACAATACCAAATAGACCGAGTTCTCGCTATCGAGTTAATTCTGTCATGGACAAAGATTCGCGATTTTATGTTTTCGGGGGATCAGATACTGTAAACGATACAAACATGTATATTTATGACTATTGGAAGGATACATGGGCAGTTATACAATCCGTAAACGCACCATCATCCATTTCAGGTTATAGCGCTACACTTTTACCGAACGGGCAAATATTTTATATTGGAGGTGTGACTGTTGAGAACTCTTCAGCATATAGAGATATGAATGAGGCAAGCCTCAAAGGAAATTTACAATTTGCGATAATTAATGAGTCAATAATAAATCGAGATCCTTCATATTTTTTAGATCATAGTCTTCGATACAAATAATAACCAATGGAATTATTTGGTGAATATTTTTTGCTTATTTTTATTTTATAATAATACAAATTATTTTTTTAATTTTTTTCGATTTAGAATGCCACCAGCGAGAAAATGATTCCAAGACGATTTGGTCATACAGGAACTTTATGTAAATACCATTTTATCATTTTTATTTTGTAATGATTCAACACTAAGTCCTTTTCCTCTTCTTTTAGCATCGGATGGACAGAAGATTTTTATTTTCGGCGGCCTAATAAATCCTTATGACTTGAAGTATAAATTCTAAAATTTCATTTTTTTATTTTCATGATTCTTTTTTCGAACATTCTTACAAAGTTTTACAAATTCAATTTAAATAGATTGACAAACGACACTATAAATTTGGCTGTATTAGGAATAGAAACTTTAAAATGGACAAGACCAATTATAAGTGATCTCGAGCTCGGACCAAATACGTGTTTAGCCGATCATTCCGCTACGCTATATAATGATTTTTTGATTTTTGCTTTCGGTAATTTTTCATAAAATCCCTCATCAGTAAATTTATGAGAATGACCACTAATTTAAATCTTTACAGGTTATCAAAACTACAATCTTAGCAACCACATATACATTCTGGACGTGAAAAATGAAGCCTATCATTGGGTGAGAACGATAGCACGGATAAACCTACAGCTAAAAGGAAATATAACAATATCAAATCACTCAAACTCCAAAAATTTACAATCCAGCGATCCACAAGGCGAAATTCCAATGTGGGTGATTGTGTTCCTTTCGATTTCTGGTTTTGTGTTTATTGTGTTTGCTGGCATGGCAACTTTAGTCTTTTTACAAGGGAATCGCAAAAAAGCGGTGAAAGATGACGGGAGAAAATAATGTGGGATGTTGTAAATTAATTATCTAGCAAGATATATTGAATGTTTGTTAGCGAATTTTTCTTTGATAAAAACTGTATCGTTTTTATCATATCTTACAGATTTGGTTGGATACGAATTTCAAAATTGGATGCATTAAAATTATTTGCGGTTTTTTTATCTCGATATCATTGATGATATATACAATTTCTTATAATAATGCGTTTTTAATCTTAGATTCAAAGAAAATTTTATTTACGGAGATTGTCACTTTCTCACGTGCATAATTCTGGGTTCGAAATAAATTTTGACGTTTTTTTCTTTACAATGATAAATTTCGAAATAAGAGATGAATAATTAATATACAGTGCCCATAATTATGGAATTAGAGGTTAATTTATTAATATAATTTCTTTTTACCTTAAAGTTTATAATTTTATTAAGTAATTCAACCTTCCATAAAATTCACAAACTTGGGGAATTAAAAATAAAGGCATATCCTCAATATTCTAGACTGCATAGTTCTTTCCAACTTATTATATAAGACATACCCTCCCTAAATATACACTGTGACTTTCATATAATCTCAACAAGAACAATCAGAAGTCCGACAAATAAAATCCTGAACGAATGACAGAACAATAAATATACTTAATAAAGTTCATATAATAATAATATACAGTATATATATATATATGTAAATATGGATGTATACATTAAGAATTTATATATGAATATATATTAATTATATTATAGAATATAGTACAAAGTATCAGTTTTTTCTGCTGTTATTAAAGTTGTAATTTTCTTGTTAAGAATATTCACATAAAATATAAAATGATCAGGTTTTATTTTAATTTTATAATTTAAAAGATTTATTTTATTAATAATAAAATATTATATAAATAGAACAGAGCATCTTTAAATAATAATTAGAATTATTATATATAAATAATTTATTAATAATATAATAATATGAATAGTACTTCTAAAAAATACTTTGATTATTAAATAAATATAGAAATAAAAAATTATAAATAATAAATATAAAATAAAAAATAAATTAACTAAAAATATAAAATAAGACTAGATGAAAATTCTATCAAAAAATTATAATATAGCTATAATAGCTCAAAAGAATTGAATAATTTCATATGCAAGAATGAGATAATATAATACAATAATTTTTAATATAGTATAATAATATAATGAGTAATTGTAAATTAAAAAATAAAAATTATTATTATTATAAAAAATATAATTATAGAGAAATATAATTATAAAAAGCTCTCATTATACAATAGATAAATATAGATATTTTAAAAATATAAAATTTCATTTTTAAATATTTTAAAATAAATTTTATATATAATTATTATTTTAAATTTTTAAAAAACTAATTATTATTATATTTCATACAAATTATAAAATAAAATATCTTATTTTTATTAATATTTTATTAGATAAATATATAAAATAAGTTATTAAAATTATTTTTTAAAAATATTTTAAATTAATTTTAAACTTTTTCTCTTTATTATAAAGCTTAATATTTATTAATAAAATTTTTAATATACAATTAAAGTTTATAATTTATAACTATATATATTTTTTAATATAAATTATATAAATTCTAATTTTTAATTAAAAAAATTTTATAATTAAAATTAAAATTTAAAAATCTGAAATATATATATTAAAATTATAAATTTTATAAAAAAGTTTTAATTTTATTTTATTATATAAATAAATATATATATATAATAATATTTATAATAATAATCAAAAGTAATAACTCAGAAGCTAAATTTACTAATAAAACATAGTGAAATTGAAATTTTCTCTCTATATAAAAATTTATAATTTTAATAAGAAATAATTTTTATTTTTATATAAAAATAAAGTTTATTAGTTATAGTTTAACATATATTTTTTTCAGATTTTTTAGATTTTTTTTAAAAGAATTGCTCTAATTATAAAGTTAATGCAAAAATTTTTACTAATTAAAAATGAAATTTAATTAATAAAAATTTTTGCACTA